TCAGAACACTGTTTGTAAGTGTGAAATGAATAGATTCTTTCTTTTGTTCTGGCTCAACTGGTGTTGAGAGAAGCGCCACTGGCCAGTAAGACTGTATGACAGCAAAAATGTGCTCATTGTGTCCAAGATTAACCCTTTACTCTTATGCCTGATCACAAATCTCCTTTTCCCTTTCCACTAGCAACTCTGGCCCACTCCAAGGAAAGTCACATGGAGTTACCTTTCTTTGTTATATGTTGCTCTTTGTTTTCTCTTTGAAAATTGTGATAAATACACATAGCATAAAATTTACTGTTTTCGGCCGGCACCATGGCTCAACAGGCTAATCCTCTGCCTGCGGCGCCGGCACACCGGGTTCTAGTCATGGTCGGGGCGCTGGATTATGTCCCAGTTGCCCCTCTTCCAGGCCAGCTCTCTGCTGTGGCTCGGGAGTGCAGTGGAGGATGGTCCAAGTGCTTGGGCCCTGCACCCCATGGGAGACCAGGAGAAACACCTGGCTCCTGCCATCGGATCAGCGCGGTGCGCCGGCCGCGGCGGCCATTGGAGGGTGAACCAACAGAAAAGGAAGACCTTTCTCTCTGTCTCTCTCTCTCACTATCCACTCTGCCTGTCAAAAAAAAAATTTACTGTTTTCACATGTACGGTTCAGTGGCATTACATGCATTCATATTATTGTGCAACCATTACTACCATTCATCATACCAAACTGAAACTCTATACCCATAGTAACTTCCTCTGCAAAAATAAATAATAATAGGGTGAAAGAGGCATTGGGATGCTTAGACATACCCCAGAGATAAACATTTTCATGTATATTAATACACCTTCTCAGTTAAGTTAGAAAAGTTAAGTTCCGCCCAGGACACCATGTCTAGTAGTGATGGAAGCTGTATTTTAAGGTCATTCTATCTATGACACTCCAGAGTGGGTGATCTTTCTAATGTGAGTGCTCAGTAATAAAACATGATGTCAATATCTTATATTATCAGTGAAGCGCATTTCTAAGATTCTTGAAACTAAAGAATTCTCACCTTTTCCTTAGGTTTTATATTGTGGTTGGTTTTAGCATGACCAAACAAGGAAAAAGTTGACAGAGATAACATTTTAACTTTCTGATACCAACTGATGAAAAAGGGTCCTAGCTCAAGACTCTGCTTTTCTGCAGTGGATTTCTCTCTCCAGGATTGGTGTCAAGGAAATTTGCAAAAATGGAGATCAAAGGATGGCATCCCAAAAATGAGGGCTTGATGAAATTTTTTTAGTAAGTCATCCATTTGTATCATCGGAATCTAAGCTACACCACTGAATAGTTAGATGACATAAACAAGTTACTTAACTTCTTTATTGCTGGTTTCTTATCTGCAAAAGTAGGGCAATAGCACCTACTTCACAGGGTGGTTATGAGCATTTATATACCCCTACTTAGATGTTCAAATGCATCCTTCAAGTTGAACATATCCAAATTAAACTTCATGATTCTGATTTCCTTGCTCAAACTATTCCTACCCTGGCTGCTTCAATTTCAATAGATGGCAATTCCATTCTTCCACTGACCCCATCCAAAAACAAGCCAACAAAATAGTGAACTTTCTTGATTCTTCCCCCATGTGTCATATGCATTCACAAATTTCTGTTGCCTCAACCTGGAAAAAAATCTGTCCAGAATCAAACCACTTCTCACCCCTTTAACTGTTGAAAACTTTGTTCAAGTCATAACAGTGCCCATTGAACAATTGGTGTGATTTCCTAACGGTCTCTGACTCTACTTGTGGCCCTCCATCATCGATCCTCAGTACAGAGGCCAATGAGATGCTTTAAAAGATAATTGAACTTATGACATTCATTGCTCAAAATCATTCAGTGGCTCCCCATTCGCTCAAAGTAAACTCAAATTCTTTCATTCATCTAAAAAATCTGCATAATTTGTCTTCCTTCCCATCCTTTTATGGTTGCATCCCCTAAGGGCATAATAGTCTCCTTGCTACCCCTTGAGAAAATCATGCTTGCTCTACCCTACTGCTCTTCCCTTTACCTGAAATGTGTTCTTTCCCTAGGTATCCATCCCCCTGCTCCCTCTCCTCCTCAAAGTCATATCTTAGACAAGCTATTTTCTATATACTCTATTTAATAATTTAATAATTTCTAATTCCAACTTTCCATCAACCACACTCATAAATATCTTTTCACTCCTCCTCAATTTTCTCTGTAGTATAGACTCTGGATCACTTTCTAATATAATTATATTTACTTTTTTAAAAAGTTTATTTCTCTTTAGCAAAATATAAGTTTCATGACAGAATAAAATTTTTTCAATGTTGTATCTGGCATGCAGACGGCATTTCTCAACTTTAATGCTATTGACATTTAGAACAGGATAATTCTTTGTTATAGGAGCCTGTTCTGTGTATTGTAGGTTATCTAACAACATCCTTGTCCTGTATGAACCAGATGTGTATCCTTCCTTGACAATCTCCAATTATAATCAAATGCCCCATAGGAATCAAAATCTCTCCCTGTTGAGTATCCCTTGTCTAAAACATTTTCCCAGAAAATGTTCAGTAAATATTAATTGAATTAATAGATGAATGTTAAATGAATGAAATTATTAATAACACACGTAGGAAAGTGCTTGACATATATTAAATACTCAAGAAATGTTAATTATCATTTATATGTTATTGTTATTATTGTTATTGCTATCTTGTTGGCTACACTGGATACCAGCAATTCATTAACTTGTGTTTCTACATTAAGCTGTTTTGTGCAGACCTCAGAATAAATCATCTTCTCCCATCTCTGTGCATATATTGTAACTTCTTACAAATGTGTCACTGATGAGAAAGACTGTAGTTTGGCACCGGTATTTATTTTTATTCTTGTCTATTCCTGTCAGCTCTTGTAAAATTGTTCAAGCAAGTATTCTATGGTACAGTTGTATCAAATATATATTGATTCAATCTGCCCAAATTCAAGTATGCAAGTTTGGCCAAAAAAATGAAGAGAGAAAAGCATAATTTTCATTCAACATGAGCCCCTAAATGCAAGCCAATTATTTCATCTGGTGTTCAGCTAAAGCAAAAGCAATCTGTTCTACCCTGGAGGAACAATTGCCTATATTAGACTTAGTAGAAAGATGGCATACTATACACAGAACCAATATACCATATTTTATAGGGGACTTAGGATATTTTTCATGGGCAATTCTGAATCCACATAGTCAAAGGAAATGTTTTTTATCATCTTTTCTTATCTGTATTCTAAAAATCTAAAAGTCTTTGAAGAATAGCATTTCAGAGTAACTCATTTGGCAGCAAAAACTATGAGGTATTTATGGTCATTGTTTTCCATAAAACAACAAGATGGTATGGAATGCTGCCACAGTCCCTGGTAAAAGTGTTAACTAGTGAAGAAAATGTGTACTTCACTGCCTTTATAACGTATAAAAATTTTGTGCTTCAAAACACATTTGACCACACAGTTCCAGAAGAGAAATTATATGCCAGTAAGTGATTTTCAACTCATTGCCTGGTTTTTTATCCTATTCCTCAAGGAAAACATTGCCTGGTAGTAGTATACCAATGCCACTTTTCAGCACCTCACTCAATAAGTAATTCCTGGGGGATGTTTAGCTTGGCGCTAAGACACCTGCTCCCTACATCAGAGTAACTTGGTTTGGTCCCTAGCTCTAGCTCCTGAATCCAGTTTCCTTCTTGTGTACATGATGGAGGCACAGGCAATGAATCCAGTAGATGGGATCCTTCCATTCCTGTGGAAGACCTGGATTGGGTTACAGACCATTACTTTGGCCCTGACTCAGCCCTAAACATTGCAGGCATTTGGATAGTGAACCAATGAATGAAAACTCCTTTTTTGTATCTCAAATAAATAAGTATTTTTAAAAAAACATTTAAAGTATACAAATTTCATGTATTTCCTATATACAGATTCAAGAACATAGTGATACTTCCAACCCTACCTTATCTCCCACCTATTCTCCAACACTTTTTCCTCCTCTCTCTCTTATTTCCACTCTTAATTTTTTGACAAAGGTCTATTTTCAGTTAACTTTATACTCCTTAAGTAAACAGTTCAGCAAATAGTATGAAGGATAAAAACACTATTCCTCAGCCATCAAGACAAGGGCTATAAATCTCAAATGTCATTAAACTATTAAATCTCAAATGTCATTTTCATCCCAATACATTACTTTTCAGGTGCTCTATTAGTTTCCATATATGAGAGGAAACATATGATGTTTGTCTTTTGGGTACTGGCTAATTTCACTAAGTATAATGGTATCCAGTTCGCATCCATTTTGTTGCAAATGACAGGATTTAATTTTTTTAATGCTGAGTAGTGTTCCATAGTGTATAAAGATCATAATTTCTTTATCAAGTTATCAGATGATGAACCTTTGGGTTGATTCCATATCTTACCTATTGTGAATTGAGCTGCAATAAACATGGGGATACAAATCATTATTTCATATCCTGATTTCAATTTGTTTGGGTAAAATCTCAGGAATGGGATGACCGGGTAATATGGTAGTCTGTATGCAGATTTCTGAGATATCTCCAAACATTCTTCCACAGTGGAGGCACAAATTTACATTTCCACGAACAGTGGATTAGGGTACATTTTCCCCCAACATCCTTGCCAGAATTTACTATTTGTTGATTTCTGTATGAAAGCCATACTAACCGGGGTGAGGGGAAACCTCTTTGTGGTTTTGATTTGCATTTCCTTGATGGCTAGTGATCCTGAGTATTTTTTCATGTGTCTTTTGGCCATTTGGATTTCCTCTTTTAAAAAATGCCTGTAGGTTGGGCCGTAGTGCACATTTTCCGAGGCCTAGCCTGAGATGATGGGAGAAAGCAGAAGGTCTGTGGGTGTTGATTGGCTTAAGCAAGAAGCGTGCTGGAAGGTGACTGGCTACATCGTTCACGGGAAGAAGTTTGTGGCGCCAGAGTGAAGAAGACACCGCGCTGCCCCCACAACTCGGTTCTGAGGTGCTCTGCGAGCCTGTTCGACTGGAACTTTCTGGTCCTCTGTTCCAAAGGCATCGAGACCAAGATGTGGAATAGTTCCTTCAGCAGCTCCAGCACAGGGGAGCCAGGGGCTACATGTAGTCATTGGGTGGCTTTGGGTCACCCACGCCCTCTCAGGCTGAAAAGAAATTGAGAACCCGAGCCCAGCACATTGTACCCTCTACTATATCCCAGCTGCTTTCTGCCACTCTGGTTGATGAAGTGTTCAAGATTGGGAATGTTGAGATTTCACAGGTCACCATTGTGGGGATAATCAGACATACAGAGAAGGCACCAACCAACATTGTTTACAAAATAGATGACATGACAGCTGCACCCATGGACGTTCGTCAGTGGGTCAACACAGATGACGCCAGTGGTGAGAACAATGTGGTTCTGCCAGAAACATACGTGAAGGTGGCTGGTCACCTGAGGTCTTTCCAGAACAAGAAGAGCCTGGTAGCCTTTAAAATCATGCCCCTGGAGGACGTGAACGAGTCCACCGCTCACATTCTGCAGTGCCACCATTCCATAAGGGCACCAGGTTCTAGTCCCAGTTGCTCCTCTTCCATTCCAGCTCTCTGATGTGGCCTGGGAAGGCAGTGGAGGATGGTTCAAGTGCTTGGGCCCCTGCGCCTGCATGGGAGACCAGGAAGAAACTCCTGGCTCCTGGCTTCGGATCGGCACAGCTCCAGCCATTGAGGCAATTTGGAGAGTAAACCAACGGAAGGAAGACCTTTCAGTCTCTCTCATTGTCTGTAAACTCTACCTGTCAAATAAAAAAAATCTAGAAAGAGTAAGAGTGAATGAAGCAGATGGAAGACTGACCTCTCTCCCTACATCTCTCTCTCCCTCTCTCTCTCTGTAAATCTGCCTTTCAAATAAATAAATAAATCTTTTTTAAAAAGAGTGAATGTAAAACACACATAGCAGGAGATAATGAACATAGGCAGTTTTTCCAATTAATGTAAGTTTGGGGTAATTATTGCCCCATTTTTATATATATAGTATCAAATGAAACTATTGGTGACATAATCCATATAAACAACTATAGCCACAAGGATTAATATACTAAACATTAAATTGTACTAAGAACTCACCTAAAAGGAAACCTGTAAAGTGAAATCAACACTATGAGAAGCAATGACTTCAACAGCTCTTGTCTTGACTATCAAGGAACAGGTTATTGTTTAATTTTTATTATCTTTTTTCTACTTAATACCATTGATTGAAATCTTTACTTAACATAGAATTAATCATAGGTGTATTAAGTCAATGTCAAATAGAGCCAAGTAAAAAATAAGAGTAGGAATAAGAGAGGGAGGAGCTGTACACACATTCCTACAGACTTATCCTTAAGGGTAAAGCTAAAAATGTTCCGTGGGACTCCCATTAAGCTGGGTAGTACTAGTGCAATCTTACGTGTTAAAGTGATCATATTAAGTGTATAACTGATTGTATAGATAGAATTAAGTGTCAAAAGGATCACATAAATAAGACCAAGTGTCTGGTAATAACAATAGATAGAATTCAAAAGGAGAGAATGTTCCAACATGGGAAGCAGTTCACACAGCAGATTCGTAGAATGACAAATGCCCTAAACAACACTCTGACCTCAGAATCAGCCCTTAAGGCATTCAGATATGGCTGAAAAGCCCATGAGCATTTCTCAAGCATGGAAAGCCCAGACACTGTGGCAAAAAGTGAGTTAAATGAAAGATATCTATGAGTGAGATCCCAGTAGAAAAACGGGCCATTAAAGAAGGAGGTATTGTTCTCTAAAGGGAGAAAACGAGAACTTCCACTTTGATTATGGCCCTGTCTAAATACTGACAGAGTATGTGGACTCAAAAGGCTTCCATAGCCCTGGCAGCTCATGACAAGAGCCTCAGGTGATCACTGACATCAAAACTAAGAGTGTTAATTGTTAAATTAGCAACAGGAATCACTGTAAACTTATTCCCCATATAGGACCTCTGTCCTTAATGAGTTGTACTTTGAGAATCAACTGTAAAACTTGTTCTCAAATAGTACTTTATACTTTGGGGGGGGGGCTACAAATTGTTGAGCTCTTTACTTAGTATAGAGTTGGTCTTCTGTAAATAAAATTAATTAAAAAAATCTTAATGAAGAATGAGATGAGACAGAGAATAGGAGGTGAAATGGCAGTGGGGTTGGGAGGGTGGGTACAGGAGGAAGAACCACTATATCCCTAAATCTATACCTATGAAATATTTGTATTCATTAAATAAAAGCCTTATTAAAATAAAATAAAATATACTAATCATTAAGTCTTACTGTCAAAACAATTGTAATCCTCATCATTGTTATAGCCAGTGGTTCAGCTTTGAAATCAATTCTTACTAGTCTTCCTTTCTACTTCAATAATAGTTTATTTGAAGAATATTCTCAGATTAAAAAACAAACTGTTAAGAATTGTAACATGTCGGCTGGCGCTGTGGTTCAGTAGGTTAATCCTCTGCCTGCAGCACCAGCATCCCATATGGGCACCAGTTCTAGTCCCAGCTGCTTCTCATCCAATCCAGCTGTGGCCTGGGAACGCAGTAGAAGATGGCCCGAGTGCTTGGGCCCCTGCACCCACATAGGCGACCAGGAAGAAGCTCCTGGCTCCTGGCTTTGGATCAGCATAGCTCTGGCCATTGTAGCCTTTTGCGGGAGTGAACCAACAGAAGGAAGACCTTTCTCTTTCTCTCTCTCCCTCTCACAGTCTGTAACTCTATCTCTCAAATAAATAAGTAAATAAAATCTTAAAAAAAAGAATTGTAACATGCACTCACATGTGTTATCTTACTTGCTTATTACAGACTTTATCAATAAAATTGATAAACCTTCAACCAGATTGATCCAGTAGAAAAGAAAGATACAAATGGTCAATAAGGAATGAAAGAAGGAAAATTAGTACTCCTCCAATAGACATGAAAAGGATAATAAGAAGATATTTTAAACAACTTTATGCCAATTAATTTGATGACAAACTGAAAAATTCCTCAAAAGGCACAAAATATAAAAGCTCATTAAAGAATGAGATTGCTGGAGCCATCTAAATCTATTAAACAAGTTGGATTCTTAGTTACATCCTCACCTATGGCTCAGTTAGTTTCAATTTTAATTCTATTGTGTATTTTAGAAATAATAATATTAATACAACACAGAATTTTCTAAAAAAAATAATGAAATAGTAAATAACACTTTTCAACTCATTTTAAAGAACAGCACTGCCATGACACCAAAACCAAATACATTATAAGAAAAGAAAATCCCAGACCAGTAGCCCTCATGAACATAGTTGTAAACAATCAAAATATTAGCAAATTAAATTGTCACAGATTCAAACAACAAAAACACCATGGCCAAATGAAGCTGATCTGAGGAATACAAGGCTGTTTTAACATCCAAAAATCAATTAATAACAAACCAAATCTAGCAAGATAGGAAAACCATTTATATACCAGGACTGAATTAAATTTATCTCAAGCTATAGCTTTCCTTATAAGCAAAGTTGGCTTAGTATCCAAAACTCTGTTTATATATCATGTTAACAAAATTAAAAATAAACCAAAAGCCAAATGATCATCTCAACAGACAAAAAAATCACTTGTATGTTTCCAACATTCTTTCATGATAAAAACAAACAAATCCTTAGGAATAGAAGGGAATGTCTTCAACTCTTTAAAGGAATTTTGTAAAAAAAAAAAAGAAAAAGAAATTCACATCTAACATATATTTAATAATGAAAAACTAGGTAATCACCTCCCAATGTCAGAAAAAAAAATATAAGAATGTCTACTCTTAACAACCTCTATTCCACATTGCACTGGAAATTCTAGCAAGGACAAGGTCAAGAAAAAACAGACATCCAAAAAGGAAGAGAGTTTTTAAAAATTGCATTTGTGAATGGCATGATCTTGTGTTTAGAAAACCATAGAAAATTCACTAAAAAAATTTACAGGGCAGAAAATTAATAAATGAAAGTCAATTGTCTGTCTACACAATTACAATGAACAATCCAAAATGAGCATAAGGAACCAACTCTGTTTACATAAACATTGAAAAGAATAAAATACTCAGAAATGCATTTAAAGCAGCTGGAAATCATATACCCTGGGAACTACAAAATTTTATTGAAAGAAATTAAATAAGATCAAATAGGAAAAATATCATATATTCATAGGCCAGAAGACTTAATATTGTTAAGATGAAAACGTTACTTAAAAAAAACTACAGCTTCAGCATAATCCCTATCAGAATCCCGAATGACTTCTTTATAGAAATTAACAAGGTCATTCTAAAATTCATAAGAAATTTCAAAGAACCTAAAAAGCCAAAGTAATCTTGAAACAGAACAAAGTAGAATGGCTCACAGTTTCCATTTCCAAAATTAACTTCAAAGGTCAGTAATCAGGACAGTATGGCCCTGTGTTAAAGATGGCTGTATAGATCAATGGAATAAACACCAGAAATAATCCCATGTGTCAATGGGTGCCTGAGTTTTGACAAGAGTGTCAAGATCATTTGATGCGAAATTGTCTTAAACAAAAGGGACAAGCAGAAAGCTACATGCAAAAGAGTAAAGTTGGTCTCTGACCTCACATTGTATACAACTATTAACTAAAAATGGATCAAAGACCTAGATATAACCATTAAAACTGTGAGGCTCAGAAGAAAGTATGGGATAAATCTACATGACCTCAAATTTGGCAAAGAATTCTTATTGAGAGTATGTTATCATTAAAAAAAAATAAAAGAAAGAAAGGAAGGAGGAGGGAGGGAACAAAGTATCATGATGTTCTATGAATCATATATGAAATTTATGAAATCTTTTATCTATGTATTAATAATTTTAAAAAATATAACAATCACACATAGACACACATATACACAACCAAAATCACAAACAAGAGAAGTCTAAGTATGTAAACAAGATAAACAAAAACATATGTCTGACATGGACAGTGTGGCCTAGCAGGTAAAGCTGCCACCTGCAGTGCCAGCATCCCACATGGGTGCCAGATCAAGTCTTGACTGCTCCACTTCTGATCCAGTTCTCTGTTATGGCCTGGGAAAGCAGTAGAAGATGGCCCAAGTACTTGCACCCACATGGGAGACCTAGAAGAAGCTCCTGACTCTGGCCATTGCAGCCTTGTGGGGAGTGAACCAGTAGATGGAAGACCTCCCTCTCTCTTTGTATCTCCCTCTCTCTCCTCGCTCTCTCTCTCTGCTTTTGCTTCTCTGTAACTCTGCCTTTCAAATAAATAAATAAATAAATAAATCCTTTTAAGAAAAGCATATGTCCTCATAAACACCTATATACAGATATGTATAACTACATTATTCATAAGAGCCAATAGATAGAAAAAAAATTGCAAAACTCCATCAATTGAAGAGTGAACTGAAGAATCAATAAACATTTTGGTGTACTCATAACAAGAAATATTCTTTGGCATACAAAGAAATAAAGTGTTAACCCATCCTATGACATGAATAAACCTTGACAGTATTATGTCAAGCGAAAGAAGCCAATCACAAAAAACGACATATTGCCTGTTTCCATTCATGTCAGTGTTCAGATAAACAAAATAGTACAGACATACACTAGGTTTGTGGCTGCTTAGGACTGGGGGATATGAAGATGGAAGCACCTTACAATGTGAACTCTGGAAATATGGTCCTTAAAGAGGTAATTAAGATTAAATGAGGTCACTCAGGTGACCCAGGTGGGCAGGCCCTACTGCATTATGACTTGCATCTTCATGAGAAGAGTAGGACAGACCGCGTAAAGAAACAGAAAAGACAGCAGTCTCCAAGTCATGGAGAGAAACCCTCAAAAAAATCAAATGTGCAAATATCTTGACCTTCATCCAGAATAGTAAGAAAATAATCATATATTGTGTAAGCTACCTAGTCTGGCAAGCTTCCTCATGGTAACCTTACAACATGAATACACTGATTTGTCCTGGGTGTATGTATAATAAATGTAGGCACCCTGGATTACAAATCTATGATTGTCTTGCTGGAGTCAAGCTAACCCATAACAGAAAAGGCAGGTTAACTCCAAATGGGTTTGCTCCAAATTGAGTCAGATGTGACTCAACCAGGCACGACACCAATCTCAGGGTTCAAATCTATTCATTGCTGGTACAACAGGAATGCGAACCTCTCTGTGTGGCTTCTTGTTGACCCTTGTACCTATATTTGAAAATGAACGAAGTAATCATTTAGTTATATATTTTTCAACTTAAACAAATTTTATTCCTGAATCCAGTCCAGACTTAGCTTGTTTATTGCTACTCCAAATGCTACAGTAAGCTAGCCAATGTGACAAAATAATTTTAATAATAAAACAATCACAGAAATAATTTAAGAGGTCCAAAAAGAAATGGGAAGGGGAGGATAAGTGAGAATATTTATGTGTGAGGGATGTGTTCTCTGTCACAGCTATTGTGAATGCTGACAGGCAGCACTGCTGTTCCAACAAGCTGCATAGTGCATTGATGCTCATGCCCACTCTGGAATCTGCCATACTACAGTTCATGAGAAGGGCATTAAAGGGGCCGGCAGTGTGACGCAGCAGCGGCAGCATCCCATATGGGTTCCGGTTTTAGTCTCAGCTGCTCCTCTTCCTATCCAGCCCTCTGCTGTGGCCTGGGATAGCAGTAGAGGATGGCCCAAGTCCTTGGGCCCCTGCACCCATGTGGGAGACCCTGAGGAAGCTCCTGGCTTCAGATGGGCACAGCTCCAGCCCTTGCAACCAATTGAGGAGTGAGCCAGCGGATGGAAGACCTCTGTCTCTACCTCTCTCTGTAACTCTGTCTTTCAAATAAATAAAACAAATCTTGAAAGAAGAAGGACATTAAAATCTGAATGGCCTGGGTCTGAATTCTGGGTTCACAACTTGTGGATCTCATTATCTGTAAGATGATAATTTTACTATTGCTTGAATGGCATTTATCATCACTGTCCATCCTCATTAGAAACTGTTGGCACTTACATAAGGGTTTAGAGCATTGTAAAGCACTTCACACACATCGTTGTTTTTCATCACTAAAATGTCTCTGTAGAATCAAGGGAGGGTATTGTTACACCTGTTTCAATTGTAAGGAAACAATAGAAGGAGGTTAAATAACTAGGTTGTGGTCGCAAAAGAAGTTTCCGTTAACTCCATGTCTTCTAAGGCACAATTCTGTGTTCTTTCTTCTCGGCACACTGCCTTTTTCCTCCCTCCCTCACTCAGGATCTGGAGAGCTTCTGGTAGCTCTGGGGAAACAGTTATATAAAAAACATCTATCTTTTCTTCTGCAAATTAACATCAACAACCCATAAGCCAGGCAGACCCTAACCATACCAGATAAATCCACGTCTGCTGAATGCCTTTTGCTAGGATGACTGATATCAGCCACAATGATCCTTACAACAAATTCACACACTTCCCCTGGGGTTCCTTGCCTGGAATCCAGGTCATTTTAAGAATTCACCTAATACAATGATGCTTTGAAATACAAGTGCTGTTGGCATGCTGAGGAGCACATGGTCAGAAGGCAGGCCACTCCTTAAGCATTGGCTGCTGAGGGCAAGGACCATTAACTGGCCTCCCCGTTCTTCACCACAGAATTCCCCCAGCATGGGGTCTGAGTGATCTCTGGGTCAAGGGCCATTTGCCTGTGGTATCCTCTCTGATGCAGAAATGTCTTGGCCTGAGCTTTAAGCTGTAGACGAGTTCTGCTCAGCTTTTTAAAAAATGTAATCCTCAGCTTTAAAAACAAAACAAAACAAAAAAAGATATTTACATCATGACCCAGTTCTTGTCTGTTTGAAAGTGATGGGTAGTAAAATAATTTAATGAGAAAAACTAGCACACAAAAATGGAAGAGGAAGGAAGGGAAAGAGAAGGGTAAGGGTGGTGGGAAGGGTGCATTGCATAAGGTATAAAAATTAAGTGTCTAGTTTTTTTTGGTAGGGGGAGGTATGTAGAAAAGTGATTTATTCCATTTTAAGCACTTACACAGTCATGGGTCACACATGCTTGCTGGTGAGTGATATTATGATATTAAATGGAGATGATATTAAACTAGTGGTCAAGGAATAACTTCTCGTGTGTATGTGTGTGTGTATGAGTGTGTGTGTGTGTGTATGAGTGTGTGTGAGTGGTGAGCAGGGCTGTGCATCCCTGGGGTCCAGCATTGCACGAGGGGCGGGGAAGCTGTGGTCACTTTGATTTCCTGTGGCCCCTTTCTACTATTTCTATCTACCTATTTATCATCTATGGACCTATCTAAGTGAGGGACACCGTATTCAAGGTATTTCTTATCATGAGTCATAATTGAAAAAAAAAAAAAAAACTGGAAAGATCCGAGTCTAGAGGAAAGCCAACAGAAGTGGGTTAGAGTTTGCGATTCGAAGAAAAATCCAGGATAAGGTTGGGACAATGGGAAGATTCTGCCCTCCACCACTGCCGACTGAGTGCTTTTAAAACCTCTTGCTCCCGGTTCAACTCTTAGTTCTCTTCTTACCTTGGTTTGCATGGCTGGATGCGGTGGACTCTGCTAATCCTCCAGCCCCTCTCCCATCACCATCTCACCTCCGGCTTCAGCTCCACCAAATTCTGTGCCATTTGGGCAGCACTCTCTGCTCCTCAGCCCTCCAGGCTTCTGTTCCCAGGCTCCTATTCTCCCTACTTGTCTGCTTTGTTCTCATTACCTATGCCTGCTGTCAATTGTTCAAATAATGGTCTACCTCCTACAGGAAGTGTTCGCCTGTCACTCTCCGTTCATTTACTCATCCAGGTCAGCACGTAATACTCAGAAATCACAGACTGAGGTATTTGGAATATCACGGTGCACAGGACAGAAGGTTCTGGCCTTTTGGAGCTTCATTTCCAATGGTCAGACAGTCGATAAATAACTAAATGTGTGATGTGATGTAATGTAATGTCGCAAAAGACAATAAGAGAGAGCCAGGGTAGTAGAGGAAGACTTTGCTCAAGGGGAAATTTGGGCAGAAAATTGAAGTTCCAGACCAAGCCATGACCAGGTTTGAGGAAAAGTGCTTCAGATGAAGGAAACGGTAAGTACAAAGGCCCTGAGGCAGGGACAGGATGACATGTGCAGGCTGGATTCATTACGTCTCTCATAGGCACCTTATCACTTTGCAGGTACTTTTATGACATGGAACTATGTCTTTTCTCCATTTTTTTCTACTGAAGTATAAGCTTCTTGATAACATCTTGTAACTAAGCAATTTAAGTTCTCTCTACATATTTAAGTATGTGACAGAAAAAAAATCAATTCTTAAAGAAGCGAAATTCTTAAATAAGTCAAAATGAATACATGAAGGAAGTTATTCCCCTCTTCTTGGAAGAGGAAAGCAGGGAGGCCTGTGTTCTGTAGGCAGTGTTCCAGGCAACAAAAAGTGCTGGTCAATGCACACTTTAAAAGGAAAGTCTCAAAGGCAAGACAAACAATATTTCCCTAGAACTATCCCAGCTGATACAAATAAAACCAAAACAAGAGATGAGTAGATTGTTTAATTCTGTAAAAAATCTATGTCCCTGTAGATCAATCCATCCAAATTTATTGGTTTGAAAATTAAACTGCCTTGCAAAATGCGGTTTAGAAATTTCTCTTGGTTCAACAAATATTCAGCCTCATGAAGAGATGGCCTGGTTGTATTAACTGTTTAGAGAATGAATCCCAGAATCCTGAGCTGGAAGGAGAATGTAAACTCCCCCCAACATTGTCATTTTATGATGAAGGAAAGGAGGCAGAGCCGTTGCTTCCCAAGCTGTGCCTAGAACCCAGGCCCGGTCCCTCCTGCCCCAGGGCCCTGGCATCCCTCCACACACCCAGCGCTTGCCCATTGCACTTGGCTTTTCTTCATAACCTCAGTGAAAGCACATTTTTCCGAATTGCAGGATTGGGATGCATGAAGATAACTGAGAAGTGCTGGACTCTCCTGGCATTCTCCCAGACTCCAGGATATCAGAGGAGAGACTCCACCGTGATCACACCAAATTAAGTCACAGGTGGAAAGCGCTCCTGGAAACCCTGCAGCAAAGGTGCCTTCCTCTCCTGCTCTGCTTCTCTTTGGACTCCTACACTCTAGTCAGCCTTAGTGAGAGCTGGTCTTAGAAATGCCCATTTTTTCTCAGTGCAGCTTATATTGAGAGAAAACTGGAGATCCTTCCCAAATAATGATGAAGTTGTAGATTTGCTCAGAAATGGCTTTGGGACGAGAGACTCCTTTGCCTTTAACATCTCTTAACCAATAATCACAGAGATGGAATACTATGTATTTTTAACTAAACCATTTATTTTAGCATAATTTTAGGTTTACTTTTTTTGCAAAAATCATACAAAGACTTCTCATATGCCTTTCCCTCAGTTTCTCCTGTTAACATCTCACATTATTAAAACACTTTAGTCACAATTAAGGAACCAAGATTGGTAATTATTATTTAAACTCTTCTATTTATATAAAAGTACACTTATATAAATTGCATTTACATTTATATACAACTATAATTATATAAATATATACACTTGATTTCTATTTCTCTGCTTTTCCTCTATGTTCTTTTCCTATTCTAGTATCCCATGCAGGAAAGCACAACGCAACCCTTCCTGGAACAAACTTTCTCCTTTTCCATTGGCAAATTCACACTTAGTTGTCAACATTCTATTCTGAACAGCACTGTGACTCCTGACACTCTTGCTACCCATTCAGGCAGGGGAGGGGATCCCTACTCTTTCCTTGCTGTCTCCTGTACTTACTGTTCCACCACACCCTTCTTGTCTTAAGAATCCTGATCATGTATTACATATTCTTAGCATCCAGTTCATAGAAGGAACTTAATAAATATTCTTTAAATAAATGAATGAATAAACTTGAAACCCACAGTGCTCAGGTAGATAATATCTTCATTTGAAAAATGGAGAAATGATGGCTTGGATATTTTAACTAACCTCCCTAAGTTTATACAGCTAATGAAGAGGAAGCCAGGACAGACCCAGTCCTTTGACTCTGCCTTACCATTTTAGTGCTGTTTTTCTAGGAATCTGAAGCCACAAGGCTCTGTCCCACACCTGGTGATGTATGCCATTCTTTTCCAACCATATGTTGTTATTATGCTAACTTACCACATCTTCTAGGTTATTTTACCACGTGGGTCTTGATTACAATGTTCCGATTTAGTTTCACGCACCTAGTACTGAACCTTAGTTATAAGAACCCCATCTTGTTCCCTAAAATTTGGTACTATATTTTTAAGGTATCTGCCTCTTATAAAAGTTATTTACTTGATTTATTTGAAAGGTAGAGAAACACAGAGGGAGAGAGAGGAAGAGAGAGAGAGAGAAAGAGAGAGAGAGACGGAGAGACAAAGAGATTTTCTGCTACTGGTCTACTCCCCAAATGCCTGCAACAGCCTGTGCTGGGCCAGGCAGAAGCCAGGAGTCCACGTCTACATCTGGGCTTCCCACGTGGGCAGCAGGGACCCAAGAACTTGAGCAATCAATGCCATCTCCTGGGCTGTTCATGAGCAGAAAGCTGGAACAGAGTCAGGAGTTGA